GAAGAATTGTGTTGGGATTTTGATGGGGATTGCATTGAATCTGTAGATTGCTTTTGGTAAGATTGCTATTGTTAGTTTTTTAAAGTGTGCTCTAGTTTGCTTTCTGTTGCTATGATAAATGGCCTGACCAAAACCAACTTGAGAAGGAAAGGGTTTATTTGGCTTACACTTCAAAGGAAGCAGTCCATCAGTGACAGAAGTCTGGGCAGGAACTCAAGCAAGAACTGAAACAGAAGTCATGGAGGGATGCTACTTCCTGGCTTGTTTCCATGCTCATGTTCAACTGTGTTTCTTTTTACATCCCAGCCCCACCTGCCTAAGGATGATTTGCCATTCCAGTCCCACCTGCCTCAGGATGGCTTGACAGCCCAGCCCCACCTGCCTAAGGATGGTACCACCCATAGCAGGCCCTCCTACACCAACTAGCAATCAAGAAAATGGCCCCCAAGACATGCCCACAGGGCAATCTGGTGGAATCAGTCCTGCTACTGAGGTTCCTTCTTCTCAAATGAGTCAAGCTAACAATAAAATTTAGACATCACAACAACAAAAATGGATTTTAGATAACCAAGTGATCATCCCTAAAACCATTTATTTACACAAAACAGACTCATCAGGTTGTATTTATATAACTATTCATTATACATACATAAATAAAACAATGTATTTATCGACTAGATGGGTACAGCTGGAGTCAAACATCCACAACAGAGTCGAGATCCAGTGACGACCATGTGGGAAGCCCACATGGGAATCTAACGGCTTGTCTTTGAAATGCTGCTCCTCCAGGGAGGTTGGACACTCTGGCTTTTGTGTGGTGTCTAAAGCTTGTCCATTCTGTTTCAGCTGGCGGGCTTCATCTACGCCTGTTACGTTGTGAAATGTATAACGGAAGAAGAGGACAGCTGTAAGTATTAAAGCTGCGTTCTGTGTCTTTCAAGTTCAAAGCTTCCCTTAGGGCTTCCTCCCCAGCATTCCTGCTCTGAGACAATACCCCTCAGCACCCCAGCAGAACAGAAGATAAGCCTTTGGTGCCCATCATGCTAAGCTAGTCTTCACAAAAGAATCAGCATACTAAAGAAACAGAGAAGCACTCATTTTTGGAAACATCCTTTTCCCCTTTCATTGAAAAGTATTTCAAAAATCTGTTCTTAGAACAATTCTAGTAGAGACTACAGATGGGAGATTAGAGACAGACGTGAATTCTAAATGCAGTTAGCTTGAATATTTTCCTTTGTTACAGTTCAGTTACTATGTATTGCTAATTAATCAGTTTCATCAAGGACTACCAATTTCAACAATCAATAACTTATAATAGTTCTTAAAACTCTGCCAATAATTGAATTCCTAATGGAAATCAGTTGCTATGACAATGCTATGTATGCCATGATCTGAGATAGCATGGCATAAAATGCTATGACATGATCTGATATGGCATTGTATTGGCATGACATGTTAAGATATAATGTGATATGGCATAATCTAATATGAAAGATGTCTGATCTGATATGACCTGATCTGGAATGTTATGATATGATATGGCCTGTTAGGGAATGACATGACATGATATAATGTGAGATGATTGATATGATATAATATGATCCATGCTAAAACATTTTGAGTAGTGGGGCAGGACATGGTTGGCTACTGTGGGAAAGGGAAAGCTGGGGTCTGATGGGTTCCTGGATGTCTGTTATGAGTGAATGGGTACATGGAAATGCCTCTTAAGGAAAGTAGAGCAGGGACACAATAATTGTCTGAGTGTAGACAGGTTGTTTGAGGTGTAAGAGAAGGTATGCAGCAAGCACTCATCATATGCACAAAAGCCTTATTCAGAGACCATGGCCGATAAAAGATACAGGGATTTTTAAATGTATGGACCTAACAGGCCATGTAATCGGCATCTTTCCAGAAGAACACTTTGCAAAAGAGATTCCTGAAATGCATTTTACAAGACTAAAGACAAGCAAATTTGACACTGAAGATTCAGAATGCTTATTTGTACACTGATGTCCCTGAGAGTGGTCTAATAAAAAAGTATGTGCAATTTTTCCTAATTGAGTTTTGTTAGCATAGTACTAGGTAAGCAGAGCTGACAATACGGATCAAAGAGAGAAACAGAAAGATTTTTCTCTATAGTCACAGTTCCTTAGGGAGAGTACAGCTTGTCCTGAACTGTTTCCATAGGGAAGATAAAAAGGGTAGTCTTAGGACAGAAAGTAACAATGATAGAACTGCTGTGATTAACTGCTGAGGCATGGTAAGCAGGTAGATGTAGTACTGAGTAGCTGCTCTTAAAGGGAGTGTGCCTAATGAGCTAACTAGATGGCACAGTGGTTAAGAGCACTTGGTGCTCTTACATAGCACCTAGATTCAATACCCAGCACCCAAGCTGCTGCTGTTTGTAACTCTAATTCGAAGTGATTTGACTCCCTCTTCTGGCCCCGTCTGGCACTGCATGCATGTTGTACATAGTGGTATCATAAGGCAAAACACCCACACACATTTTTAATAATAAAAATGATCTACCTAGGCCAACAAAAAAAAACTTGATAACCTAAGTTTGATCCCCAGAACCCACATGGTTGGAAGGAGAGAACAAACCCACAGGTGGTTCTCTAACCTCTACACACAGGTAAAGTAAATAAATACAATTTTCAAAGAGTGGTGTCCTGTGAAATCCACAGTCACAGTCACTTTACAGTCACTAGTAAAGCAGCTGGTTTAGAGCTATCTAAAAGCCAAAGGTGTTTTATAATAAGCTTAAAAACAGCTAGTGTCTTTTGTGGGTGTTAAAACCTTAATTTATGGGAACTAATATATGAATAATACCAGGCCCAAATATTGGTATAAAGAACCCTTTCATAAAAATTCTTAAATATGTCAGAGAATGCAAATTCCAAGGATGTGTCTTAGAGAATTCTTTCCTAAGTAAAAGTTTTACCAATATCATGTAAATCCAAAGATATCAGATGTCTCCAACCTCTTCAGATGAATCTTCTGCCACAGCATCTCATAAAATGTTACCCAAAACTTCTGAAAGTAATGTATGTTATCTATTTTGTTTTCTCCCTCATTCCTGCTTTTATTAATCCAGAGTGTAAGAAGCCATTTCATGCACAAATTTCTCAGGTTGGCCTGAGAACTTAAGGAAATCTTTCTCTGTCTTCCCTTGGCCATTGGCACTGAGCTGATGCTAACAGGCCCAGTGGACAGTCTACAGATGTTCATCAGGGCTCCTTGTGTACAGTGATCTTTGGTGACTTTTAATTTACATTTATCTGTGGTCATGTCCAGCAACAGTCAGGAATGTTTACACAGCAAACTGTCGACTGGTGTTTCTCACACATTACCATCGTCTTAGCCTCTTGCCATGTGCTTATCTGAAGATACTGCCCAGAAACCTGACTTCTAATAATCTTAGATAAAGAGTTGAAATTTTTGTCCAACTTTGGGAAATCATAAAGAAAATTATTTTGACCCTTAATTTTTATGAAAAACAAAAAGTGTCCTCTGAAAGCAAGCCTTGAAGAATTTGAGAGAGGTTTGACGTCTGTGCAACACTAAGGCCGGTGTCATGTCTCTTTGAAGCCACCTGCTTGCCAAATCAGTGACGTCTCCATCCCTAAGAAGACAGTCCAGGTTCCCTAACTTGGTGAGAACACACTGGAGAGATGAGGACAGGCTTCTGACTGCTGGGTGAATAAAGTAGGCTTGGGGCTGACCTGCAGTTGAACAGCTCTGTGCTCGATGCTCACAGACAGGAGTGTACCCAGACAAAGTCAGAGGGAAGAGGCATCAGCTCCCAAGGAACCATGAACCAGGAGCAAGGACACCAGTTAGAAATAGTAAGACATAGAGGATACTAAACAGCACAGCACAGGGATGAGGGGAGAAAGGGAGGGAGGGAGAGAGAGAGATTGAGAGTGAGAATTAACGTTCCAGGCTTCTTTCACACTTACTACGTAGCCAAGGGTAACTTTCAGCCCCTGATCTTCCTGACTTCTCCCAAGTGCTGGGATTGCAGGTGTGCCACCATGCCGTGTTTACACAATGCTATGAGTTAAGCTCGAGGTCTCATGGGTACTCAGCGAGCACAGTACCTACTGAGCTACACAGCTCGCTTTACAGCAGATGCATTAATACAGCATCTCTTTCCAGTGGAAACCCCCTGAACCTGGATTTATCTGTGTTTGACCCCTTCGTCTAAACCAGAACTGCAGCCTGGCAAATGTGAGCTAAAGGCATACAGTCACAGCACACCACTGCCACCTGCTGTGCGCACTAGAATATGACATCAAGTAGTGTGTTGAGGATGTGCTCCTGCTTTCTATGAATCACTAGGGCTGCCATGATAACACACCACAGCACTGGCAGCTTAAACAACAGAAACTCATTTTCTCCCAGCTCTGGAGGCTGAACCTCCAAGATCAAGGTGTTAGCACGCACTTTGTCCTGAGACCTCTCTTTGCATTTTCAAAATCCTTACATGGCCTTTCCTCTTATTTAAAATTTCCAGTCCAATTGGACTGCTGCCCTGCCCTGATGTAGCAGGAATCTTAAAGGGTCTTATTAATAAAAACAAACCCCGAGCCAGGTATTGGGGTGAACACTGGAGGATCAGAGAAGCAGAACAAGCCACAGCCACCTCACCTTGCCAATTCCTCAGCTGATTCTGTTTCCTCAGACTGGAAACCTTTGAGTCCTCATCCAAATGGATCTCAGCTGAACTGTTGCTCAGAAGCCTAAAAGCTTAACCAGCTCTAGTTCCTCATCCTCACGCCTTAAATACCTTTCTGCTTCCTGCTATCACTTCCTGGGATTAAAGGCTCTTGTTACCACACCTGGCTGTTTCCAGTGTGGCCTTGAACTCACAGAGATCCAGGCGGATCTCTGCCTCTGGAATGCTAGAATTAAAAGCATGTGTGTCACCATTTTCTGGCCTCTATATCTAGTGGCTGTTCTGTTCTCTGACCCCAGATAAGTTTATTAGGGTGCACAATATTTTGGGGAACACAATATCACCACACCCTGATGATCATATTTAACTTTAATTAGCTCTTTAAATGCCCTGTCTCAAATGTCACGCTGAATTTTAAGTCTTCTACTCATAAATTGAAGGGAGGAGACACAAATAAGGTTATAACACATACACACACACACACACACACACACACACACACACACTCACGATAGTACACCCAGATGTGCACACATACATGCACATAAACTCACAGTATGTTTCTTGGATATATGAGTATATTTATGGGGCCAGAGTAGACCTAGCCTTAGATTAGAGTTTTGGGGTGCTAACACTGCCCAGCATGCCTGCATGCTCTCTGCCATCAGACAGGAAACCCAGCCATCACCTCCAACTGCGACCTTGTTGACTCTTAGATGAAAAGTTCCACACCAGGAAAAACTAAAACCTTGAACTCCAGCTCAACCAGCCTGCCTTAAACCAGGCACCGATTTGAGCACAGTGACCCTCACACCACACATGGGTGTGTTTGTTCTGCCTAAAGAGGACAGGCTTCCTCCAGGAGAGTGGGCGTCCTCACTGTGTTCTTTGTGGCTGAGCTCTCCTGTCTCTGGCCATACAGAGTTTTCCCTCTAGCCCCAAGTCTCCTCTTCCATCCCACTGTGTCTGTTCTTGTTGACAAACACCTGTAAAAGAAATGGAAGTGTCAGAGATTCTTGGTCTTTGGGACTTTTATCTTATACGTGGTTCTTTTCTCTTTCTTAGTTAGACTTCCCCTCTCCTGCACAGCTGTGGCCTGTACCACTTCTGTGACAGAGATAAGAATTTATCTTTATGTGTCACCTGCTATTAAAAGATCTTTACAGAAAGAATCACTAATCCATGAGGGGGGAAAAAAGTCCTTCAATATATGACTTCTCTATTTT